AATGAGGTACAGCTCATTGCAACTCACAGATAAATGTTTGTGTTGGCTTGTGAGACAAACTGGTAAACAGAGATGCTGGGGCCTATTCCTGCCTTCTTCGAGAAGAACAAAGGGAAGGTTGCAATGGGCCAGGACTGACCTGATATTTGGAAATGCAGCTGGGGTCATTGCACTGGCCTTTTGTGCAATGACTCTGCTTTTTCTGCTTCAGTTGTTTCAGTGACGGAGTTTAAGCTTGATTCAACCTACTAGGGGTGCTGTGGCCTTTCTCAGCTGCTGACTCTCTCTTTGATCCGAGCCAAGTCACCTAGCCTTATGGTGCTTGAGGTCCAGGTGGTAGCACTGCCCTGCCTGTTAGAAAGGAGAGACCCAGAGGAGACAGAGGTACAGTTCTCCTTGGCATTGCCATGAGCTGAATCAGAGCATAGGCTAGAGCCACAACATGCAGCTGCATCTGGGGAGCATACTTTCTATGCAGCTGCCGATAAAATCCCAACAGGTGGCACAGCCCCAGTTGCTGGGCTGGGGCAGCTTTGCAAAGATGCTGAAGTCTGCTGGTGTGAGGGTGTCTTTAAGAAATGCATGTATTCACAAGGAATCAGGCCCTGGGGCCTGGTTAGGGTGCTCTCTGTCCCTTTGAATGGCTATGGGTTAGGAAGCCCTGTGTAAATAAGTGGAAGCACTGGGCTGCATTAAATGTTCTTGGCTTCCTTATTGCCATCTGGGATTTCTCTCCTTCTCCGGGTGAACACTACATACATCCAAGCAACTCCAGGCCTTCTAGGGGGTGTTCATGCTAGCATCTCAGGGCCCTACAACATAGCAAGCATATACAGTGGTTTTGACTGTACAGGCTGTGGACCTATCTGGGGTTTGGGCACATGCAAAAACTTGGGGACAGAGGGAAAATGTTCACTTTGTGTCAGACATCTAAAAACTCAGTGAGATTTAATAAAGACAAAAAGTCCACCTAGACAGCGTTTCCATGAGGCATAGTGAAACACGGTGCTCATTGCAGCCTGTTTCTGCTTTATCCTGTAGTGTAGCCTGGCATTAAGCCTGGCTGCTGCTGAAGGTGAGAGGACAGCTTCCCCACCATACCCAAGGCTTCCCTCTCGGCCAGATACTTCCATACCCTTAACTGTGTCAGCTATGACACTTCTGACAAATCGGTTCGGCTCACAGATCCAGGAGAAACACAGTCTATCTTTTCTCTCTTTTATATTGAAGGTTTATTTTTAAATCAGTGGATTGGCTCGTAGTACAGTCAGATTTCCCTGTAACATCAGCCCTGAGAAAGAGATTAATAGGAGGGGAAGAGTGGTTGCCTCTTTTTAGAAGAAAATTGGCTTTAGATTAGCTTAGTTGTATTAGCAAATCACACTCTCTAGCCCTATTTTATTTTCTGAGCCTTCAAGACCTGAGCGTCCCCAAACCTGCATAGATGCTTTCCCTCTGATCACTAAGGTGCACCACAAGGAGCTAATAGCATTGCACTCAGAGCAAGAATGTCATACTCTGTCGTCCTCAAGCTCTTCCTCGCTTTCTGAAAGATGAACATTTCTCCATCTTTTCTTCTGTGCTGGAAATATGTGGAAGTACCATGCCTGATGTAAGAATGAAGACATGGCTGTGTTGGGTCCACTAAGCTTACTAATCTCCTTCAAACCCTGGCTAGCAGTGGATGCTCAGAAAAGACTGCAAGAACAGGATGATCATACACAAGGCTTCCTCCTAAAACTCTTCCAGCCTCCACTGATTTACAGCCAAGGCACTTCCTGAGCCAGACACAGTTACGAAGCACTTACTAACACTGCATGCATTTCTCTTCCAATAACTTGCTCTGTCTCCCCTTAAGCCCATGTAAACATTTAGCACCCACAAAATCCTGCAGCAAGGAGTTCCGCAGTTTAAGTACACACTAGTTCAAGAATATCTTCCTTTTGTTTCTTTCCTAATTTCATTTTGTTCTTGTACTCTGAGACAACGGACACCCCACCATCCCTGAGCCACACAGGATTTCATGGACTTCATAACTGCACCCACGCCTCATGCCAGTGATGGCCTCGTCTTGCTCCCCTCCTGTATCTCAGAGCTGTCACCTCTCTGTGTTGCATCCTGTCTGAAACTACTTAGTTCAGCTAAGTCAGAGGATCCCTGGGACAGCCTATGTTCAATTCATAGAATTCAACCCATAGACCCATGGAGAGGGAGAGAGGCTACAGTGGTGCACTGCAGACACAAGGCCTTGGGGGTGGGTGGAGGTCCCTCCAGAAGTCACAGTTCCACATTGCCCCTGTGTCATAGGGCTCTTCCCTACATGTGGAAAGCATCTTCCACCAGGTACCTAGCTACTTCAAACACTGACAAAGGAGGTCTGGATCAGACCTGCCTTTTCATACACCAGGGACTTGCTACAGCTGTGTCTCCAGGCTGCTGGGTGCAGGGGATTACCCAAGACGGTTTGAATGTCCTGATCTGTTTGTGCATGGACGTCTGAACACGTGCTAGTCTGTTGCATCCATGCATTGCTCAGGGCATTTGCCTCCCCTGTGCCTGAAACATGTGCCTGGTGCGAGTACCAATGTGCCAGGGAGCACACACGCGCCATGTGAGCGTTGGGTTGCCTGCGAGCATCTGGGAGATGAGTGAGTGAGTGCGGGGTGCCTCCTTTCCTCCCTGTGAGGCAGGAGAAAGCATTCCCAGTGTGGATGGCCACTGCTAATGGCCCAGGAATCCTAGTGCAGCTGTTTGTTCTGGCACGGGTGCAGTGAGGTCCTGAAGTCAGTTGAACCGCATCGACTTCCCTGCCAGGGTCAGATTTCAGAGGTATGCGATTGGGGATGCCCCCACTGAACGGTTCCAGCACCTGGCCTCCGCCCCCTTCCTCAAGTTTGCAATCATTTCTGAGCGAGGGAAACCTAAGCCTTTTCAACACGGGAGGGAGAGCGCGGCCGCCAGACAAGTGATTTACAGCCCTGTGAAATCCCATCATCCCGCCAGCCCACAAGGCAACAGTGGTCCTATTGTGATTGCCAGTTTGGTGATAGCAGAGAACCACTGGGCCAATCCCTCTTCCTCTGCTCCCTTCCTCCACTTCCCCTCCCAAACCCAGGTCCCGTAGCCCTGTGACCCTCTGACATCTGCCGGACTTGTGAGGCAAAGCACGTCAATGAGATCCAGGCAGCAGGTTTGGCTGGATCTCTCAGAGCCAACTCCAAAGTGTGTGTGCCTGGGAACACACTGTTTCTCCCCAGAAATTAGAGAAGTAGAAACTGGAACGGAGAGGCAGAGTTATCAAACCCAGCCCTCCCCAGCCCCAAGAAAACACACCAGGAAGCCTTACCCTGCAGTTCATTCCAGCTCTGTTCAGCCCACCTCATGAAGAAGTCTATGTCAAGACTGCAGTTGGTGGAGAAGATGGGCTTTTCCAGAGGGCCACAGAGACCTCCTCACAACATCCCATGGCAAGAAGTACCGTACGTGAACTCCCTGCTGTGTGAAGTTTTGCAGGTCGCGCTTCAAACAGTGACATCTCCCCACACCTCAGATCTTAGAAGAGCTGAAAGATCATTTGGTGGTACCCTACTGTCTGCTTTGACTACTGAGGCATCCCAGTGTGCCCAGATTTCTGTTAGCTATCTCATTCTTCTCTCCAGGTGAAATGAATTTGGGCTGTTTAGTCCCAAAAGTCAAATGGAGCTTGGTGACAAATCTGAGCACAGCAGGGAACATACTGATAAATGAATCAGCTCTGCAGAACAGTCTAGAAAAAAAGGAATGCCAGTATGTTTCCAGAGCCCACATGTGACTTTGAGCAGACAAGCTCTAGCTGCCTGGGGAAGAGAAGTGCATACCCAAGAGCCCCAGTAGATCCGTGGCAAAGCCAGGTATAGAAAACAGCCTTTCCCATCCTGCCCCACTGACCTGGCTTGATGCTCGGCAAGCAAAGCTTTGTAGGAGGTGTAGTAAAGCTTAGGCGTATCTCCCTGAAAAACATTGTGGAAGCTAAATTTTAAGGGAAGGTTGAGCAGATAAAAAGATAAATGAAATCCACTCAGGTTTAGTGAGTACATGGAAACTAAGTCTTGCTCAAGTAGGCCCTGAGCTGCATATGGCTGGAGTGTTGCAGGGAAGCATCTTAACATGGTTGCACTGTTTTATTTCCAAAGCCAACCCCACTTACAGATATGAGACATCGGATCCATTTCTCTGCACTGTGGGGCTCCTCTTCATAAAGAGACTGTGCTCGTTAGTCTTTCCACAAGCTGCTCTCTAGGGCATGGGTTTCCCCTCTCCAGAAAGCTGGGGCAAACATATCCAGGATATTGCACTGAGCAGAGCAGGTAATTACTGTGATTTCTGCGTGTTTTGGGAGGGCCTAGTGAAGGACCATGGTGCCGTTGCACAGAGCACTATGTGAAGACGGTAAGAAACTGTGAATAGGGCCTCTCTGTCACACAGAAAGGATCTAAAAGTTAGGTAGCTCAATCTGAGCTAGTATCTGTAGGCTTCGTTCAGTCAGCAGGGAGAAATTGATGCCTGCTGAGGGCAACTCAGTTTAGGAGAGGTTTTGATATCCTCTCCGTGGCCTATGGATGGGTGGGCCGGGGTGATTGGCTCAGATGGAGATGCCCATCTTTTTGACATCTACAGTTAGAGGAGAAGTGCCTTAACTTGAAAGACAATTTCATGGGGGAGGGACTGCAGCATGGAGACACAGGGAGCCTCCAGTACAGCAGGGATTGTACAGTGGATTTCAGGATGAGAAAAGAGGCCAAAAAACCCAGAAACCCCTAAACATTTAGCACTAGAAGGAGAGACAGAACTCCCACCAGATACAATCCAGGGGCAGCTCCTTGCTGTCTGACTGGCCATCCCTTGCATCTTACCTGCTAAGGTCTGCTGGGCTGCCCCGGTCTGCTGGGCTGGTGCTCTAAGTCCCTACGCTGCTGTTTGGGGTTATTACTGAAATAGGTACTTCTTATTTAACCACATACCAGATGCACAGTGAATCCGTCCTCTGAGTCGGGTTTGGTTCGAACCGTTAAGTTTGCTCTAGTGTCTGGGCCGCCCGTGTGCAAGCGGGAGCTTTCCTGCTAACAAGAAAACATTTCATGGAGAGTTTAAAGGTGTATTTCGGTCAGCAACAGCAGCAGCATCTGCCGTTGCACTGCTCCCTCTTCTTCCTTCTCCTCCCTTGCCCTCCCTGCCCTCACGCTGCAGAGGCCTGCAGAGAGGATCAATCCTGCTTCATAAATATTTTACCAACTATCTAAATATGCATCAAAGAGACTCTTATCAACAGGTCAGAATGCAATGCCCACACAAAGCTCCTGAGATGCTGTCCGGGGAGCAAGAGACAGCCTTTCTGTGGCAGTGACTTGATGTTTATTCATTACGTTGTGGAGGGAGGTGGAGTGGCTGGTGGCAAAGGCATTTTGCAGCCAACAGGGCCAGGTCCCCTCCTGCCATCACTGCTACCTGTCACTGCACAGTCAGGGCTTGTTACCACTCCTCAGTAGATTTAACCCAGCTTTCTCTCTGCTGATAGGGAAAAGCAGGAAGGGATGGGGAGACCTGGTGGGGAGACCTGGTGAAAGGGTGCAGCGAGGCTTTATGTCCTACACCTCTTATCACTTGAGAGGGGCGTAAGAGACTCACTGCATCTCTCCATCCTTTCCCTTTCCCCTGCCCACGCCAGCCCCTCCTCCAACAAGACCTGGACTTTCCCAGCATGGTGGGTTTGAATGGAGAGGGGAAGCTCTGTGAGAAGGATGACAGCTCTGAGCTGGGGGAATCCCTCTTGGATCCCTCTTGGGGCTTCACGTTCAAAGGTTCAACCTCCTGACAGCACCCTCCCCTGCAGAGGGAGCTGATGCCCTCCACATGCCCTGTCCTCAGTCTGTTCTCATCACCTAATAATACATGGGATATCACTATGGGAGAGAAGGAACTTACATGGGCTACATCTCCCAAGTTCCAGTCACGTTTACCACTGACTGAATTTCCTCTTCTACCTCTGGCCTGCTGGAAGCCAGGTCTAATCTCCCACTAAGCACAGTTGCGTTTTTTGCTTCCGTTCACAACCGTAAGATGAAGAAAAACTCTTTCTGAGCCTTTTCTCCAGGCTTCTGAATGACCCAGCAGACACAGTGTCCGCAAATGACATTGCCTTTGTCTTTGGAGCAGGCCCCAGACACCATCCTCCCGGGCACCTCCAGGATGAGGAGGAAAAGATCCAGGCTGAAGCACAACCACTGCCAAACTACGTCTTTCCTGTTGAAGCCACCATAGGATTTTCCTGGTCCTGGTACTGCTGAAGCTCTGCATAAGCCTGAGACTGAATTATTATGCATGGAGGGAACTGCTTGCCAAGCACACTTGTTTTACTGATCCTTCCAGACTGCCAGTTATGCCATGTGAGCTGAATATTGACTATGGGCTGCTGGTCTGTGCACCCTGCATACGTGCACGTAATATCTCTTGCAGCAGGTTGTCTTTGCTTTATGCTGAATCGCTCCCTAAGCACTTCAGGAGACAGTAGGAAATCCCAAGGGTGGTTGGGTGACCATAAGTTTTGATGGTTGCAGACCCACCAGGAAAGCATTTCCACCACTTCTTTCTGCAGCTGACAAAAACTGCTTGCAGAGTTGGGGAGGGTCTAAATTTTAAGGTGCACAGCATAGAAATATCCCTGCAGCACAAAAAGGTGCAACTTTATCACTCCATCTCTGCTGCTGGGCCAATTTCATCTACTAACTTGGTGACCTTTGCAAGAAAGGCTCTTTTCCTGCCATGCGGATAGAAAAATATGGTATCAGGGCTGCCATTTTTTCCTTCCCTTCTAGGTATTAGCAAATGCGTCTATCTCTTTCCAGTCCTCTGCCTCTTTTAGGTTTACACTATTAGATGAATCCACGGTAGAAGGAAAGGAAATTGAATTAAAAATCGATCTGTTCTACCTCCTGGGAGCTCCAGGAAAGGCAGAGTCCCAACATTTCCTGGGTGGAACAGAAGGAAGAAGAAATAATAACCCTTAAAAAGGAGGAAAAGAGAGGTGGGAGCATTAACTGGACTGTAAAGATACACAGGTCACACTACCTATGTACTTAGTCAGTCGATAACAAGAAGATGGTGCGTACGACTACCCAGAGATACGACAGGTGATGTTTCCAGAAGATACTAGTGCCTGAAGGAGCAGAACTGAAACACTTTTAGAAGGGGCTGAATCTCTGGAGTCAGGTGGCTTCGTCATGTAGATTCACCCATAGGTAACAATGACCCAGATTTTTAAAAAATATCTAGTATTTTGGGGTCTGAACTTGCACCACTTTTAGAGGGCCCAAGTCTCTGAGGATCCATGTGTACGTCTGAAGGAAGCGGGCCAACATATTCTGGAAATCAGGTCCAAATTCAGAGAATACAAATGTCCTAGCTGTCCTCTTTAGACCATTTGCCTCTAGTGCAAACTGAGGTTGAATCTAGCCCCTACTACGTTCATCCATCCGGCTCCCACAGGCCACTCCTCTGCAGCGACATTATGTGCCGGCACAGAAATTCAGAACATGGCGGATGTCTATAAACACGCTGTAAAACACTACCAGTACAGTAAACACAGTGAAGATTATAGTGAGTGATTCGGTTGGCTTGTGTTAGCTGCTTTGCAGTACTCCTGTGATGCAAAGCAGCTGTCAGCTTAGTTTATTTCTATGAACAACTGTCTCATATTAGCCAAGTCTTGCCTTTGGGTCGGAGCATACCTGGGAATCTGCTCCAGTGAGTGCACCATAGGTGTGCATATAGATACTCAGCACGCTGAAGGATGTTTTCAAGATACAGACAGGCTGTGCAAGTTGCCTGGCAGCTACAGGCTGTGAATAAGAAACCTGTTGAACTGAAGCTAACTGTGGAGAATGTAATTACACAGTTAAACTCAAAGGCCACTGATGCTTGCATAGCAAAGGAAGCCCAGCCTTGCTGGAGGCAAATTGCTTTTGTTCTGCTTGAGAAGGGAAGGTTTTGTCGACAGCTCGGATATCTCCTTTTAGACAGGAACACAAACTGAGTCACACGGGTAAACAGCAATAATGTCTTACTCCATTAGATATCTCTTTCTAGACTGAAGGACTTCCCTTTCCTAGAAGACTACCATTCTGGGCTGGGCCATTAAAACAGCAAGTCAGCTTATCCTGTCCTTAAGTCATCACCATCATCGGCAAAAAACTTCCGGGAGGAGCACATTGAAAATGTAGTGATTCATTTAGGATGTGCTGTTTGTTTCCTCCTCTCCTTCCTGGAAGGAAAAATATGTGCACCAGACTCGATTGCTTTAGAGTTTCTGAATATCCTGATCATCAAGTTTATTTAATCTATCTGCTATTGGGAAGTTACTTTACAGAAGGCAGATTTAAAAAAAAAGGTCTGGGGTATAGAGAGGAAGATGGAGGTGGTGGGCTGGATGGTCTTTGGGAAGTCCAGGCCGTCACAGAACTGCTAGAAAAAGGAAGACAGGTCTGCTGAAAAGGACCATGTCTATTTTCTTACTCAAATGTAGGATTAGCTCAACTGCAATTGCTCAGGAGAGGCGTTGTCTGAGCTGTTGTAAAAATTCTCAGTGACAGAGAACGTCTCCTTTCCCGAGACACTTTATTTCACTGCCCTACTGCCCTCAGTCAGAAAGCTTCTCCTGAAGTTTAACGTGATCTACTTTGCTGTAATCTAAGGCCATTACCTCCTGTCCCTGAGGGATATGAGGAACATATTTTTTTCCCTTTCCTCTGTGCAGAAGCCTTTATGTCTTGGAAGACTGTAGTCATGTGTCCTCTTGATCTTCTCTAGACTAGACGCCTTGTCTCCTTCTGCCTTGCCTCACGGATCATGAGTTCTCTGTTGCTCTTGGGCCAGCTCAGGACAGAGCTGAGTGTCTGCTCAGATGACCTTTGCACTTGTTGGAAGGAGTTTTGTGGAAGTCGAAGAACGTTGTCTTCCTCCGATAAGGTCTTCGTCCGATGTTAAAGATTTCTCCCAAATCCTGGACTGAGGCCATGAAGCGTCCAGAAGTAAAGGACCAAGATCTCGAACTTGAATCCAGGCAGGCAGCAGAAAAAGCAGAGGATCTGTGTTTTGACCAGCCTTTGATGCCAAGGATAGCCTTGCCTAGTTCTGCAGTAGCTCACTCGGATGCTGGAAGGATTTCTCCAAAATACAGACACGTACAAGTGCGTGGCAACTACGGACTGTGAACATGAAGTCCCCTGAGCTGAGGGTAGCTGCAGTAGCTTTATGCTACTTCATAGGCCTGTGGAAACCCAGCTAAGAAGTGACAATAAGTAATTGCCTGCCAGAGCGGGACCAAGTCTCCTAGTCTGCTGGACTTATGAAAAAGCATAATTCCTGGATCCTGTTACGTAAGAGGGACAAAATTGCTCATAAACAATGAAATTAAGGGGTGCCTGTAGCAGGCCTGTAGCAGCCTGACCTCTGAGTCACAAAACTTCTAGTGCTTCCTGAACAACTTGATGGAGCCTGTGCTGCCTTCTAGGAATGCTAATGTTCTTGATAAATGGATGCAGGCTATCTACATCCACGTGGTTTGAGAAGTCTTCTCCAGCCCACAGAGTCCTTTCAGGGAAGGAGAAAGCCCATTCTTCACAGTGCTTGACAGCGCATGACTGTGTGCACTGTAGAGTGACAAGGCAGTTGTGGGGCACTAGCTGAGGACAGGAGGTGGCAAGTTTGAGACATTCTTCACACAACTTATAGTTAGTCCACGGAATTCATTGCTGCAGGATGTGTGGGCATTAAAAACTTACAGGGATTGAAGACGTTGCTAGGCAAGAGTTCCTTATGGAAGAGCAATCCATTTAGGGTTTTTAAAAACAGAGACCAAAATGCTAGCTCAGGAGTGTATTGTGTGGGGACTAGTGTACAATACCCAGTGTTTGACTCTTTCTCCTGTGAGTGGAGCATTCTTCTCCTTTAAAGAGCTCTAGAATTTGTTGGAGTCTGTGAACCCTCATGACTAAATCATAACAACCAGGCTGCTTTGTTGCCTGGGAGTCGGCAGTTCTCTGACCTCTGCCTGATGGCACTTCAA